TGGGGGGTGGGGGGGGGGGGCGGAGTGCCAGAAGACATCGGTAACAGAAAGAGGAAAAAAAACTGGAGATGTCAGTAAACCCTAGAATTTCTTTTAACTAATTTGTAGATCCTTGTATAAAAAAACCCAGGCCATAATTTCTGGTGCTAGCCACTTAGAAGTAGCAGTGCCTTCTTTTGGAAGATACTATATAATGTAAGAGAACTTTCTGCATCTTTCTTTTTCTCTCTACCTGTCTCCCCCCCTTCCTTCCCCCTCCATCCCTCCTTCCGTTTTGTGAACTGAATGCTAAATCCTTAGTGTGCCTGGGGCTGTGTGGGTTACAGACTGCCTTCCAGACAAGCAAAAGAGTCAACCCAGGGTGTTTTCCCTCCAAATCACTGCTAAGGACCTTAATTTAAAATGAATAAAGCCTTTCAGCAGACTCCATGTATCCCTAAATCAATTTGATTTTATGTAAACATTTATCTGTTTTGCACTTTTCCACCTACCCAACCATTCATATGGTAATGCCTTCGTGAACATTAATGTTTTCACCAGATACATTTTGGAGAAGGGGGTGGGTAGGAAAGAGGAAGTATAACGCACACACAACACGTCATAAGGAGTCCAGTTGTGCCAAAACTTTCCCCAAATCGAGGGGTCCATGAGAAGGAGCAGTCAATTTGGGTTTAGTAGGGATAAAATAGAAATTGCTGCTGAGGGTTGGGGGGCAATGTGGACTAGGGGTAGGGGGCTATTGTTTGGACAGACCCCAGTGAGATAAGACAAGTTTCTGGTATCTTCCCAGAGCATCTGCCTGTGATCCAAGTGACCATAGCTAACTCTGCCAGAAATGTACGAATGAAAGACTGTTTCCCCTTCAGGAAATAAAATGTTCAAATTCTGATCAATCTTTACATAAATAAAAGCAGTTCTCCTTTCTAACATACTCTGAGTACGGTGGGGGGGGTGTCAGAGATGTCACTGCCCTTCAGAAAGCAGCGGCTGAAAAGCAGCACAGAACATTTCTCTGCCTCGTCTTTCTGCAGGTACCTCCAAAAAAGACCCCAACACCTCCAGGGCACAGGAAGCAAAGCCTGACCTCCCACCCTCCCTACACACAAGATTGAAAGAGAGAAGTGAAAAGCAGATGTTATAAAATCATGAAAAAATATGTAGCTGTCACTTCCAAATTCACACCCAATCTTATTCATAGATCCGGTCGGGAGCACGTTGCCAAATATTTTTTAGCAAATAGAATAAAAGAGCCTCAAATATAGAAGATACTCAAAAGAGTCAATTCCTCTTCTCCCCTCTTTATCATTTACTGTTTATCTCTTGATTGGGTTTTTTTTTTTAAGTGATAAATACAATTAATTAGAGCACTCTCTAATTCTTTTGTCTGATTGTTACAAAAATAAAAACAAGCAGAAGGTCACGATGAGAGCATTTCACGAACCGTTGCCGTAAAATAGAATTTTTGGAAGCATTGTTGATCTCTCCTTATTTTTGTTGGTAAATCCTGGGGAAAATGTATATCTTTTCCTTTAAAGTTCTAATTCAAGGCATGGATGTGAGAGTTCTGAAGGGACTTTGGGACTGCAGTAAAATTTCGTTGTCATAGTAACAGAAAGAGAAATAGGCCTAGCTCACCTGGGACTTTAGCACTGCAAAAGCTGGATTTTTTTTTAAGGAAAAGGACTCTGCAAGTGAAATAAATGAAAAACTTATTGTATTTTGAAACAAAATTTCAAACATTAACTAGGTGAATTACTGGAAAAAACACTTCTGCCATTTTTTTTTTTTTTGGTTGATGCAGCCATCTGATGAAAGACACCCAATTTTAAAATTGCATATACAGGTCATTTAGGAGAATGTGGGCTGCAGAAAAGATGTCTTACAAATGATAACCTCAAGAGCCTGATTCTGTGTCTTTGTGTTTTCTGGATAATCTGAAGACCGTGTGAAAGGACGTTCACACTTGTTATTAATCACGAGACCTCCAGCGTCTGCCTACGCAGACGGACTTTGCCTTTAGATGGTAACAGCACTTTCTGATTTTGTACACATTGGTTGAAAATGTCAGGCCTCCTTCCTGTGTGAGCATGAAGGCATGTGTGTCAGCTGAGAGCCTCGTGTATAAGGAGCTCTGGGATTCTGGCTCAGGTCCTGCCATTTTTAACCCTGGGCAAGACTTTCTGTACAGCAGGGGTCACTGCTGTGTCTGAAGCCTTTTTTGCAGAACAAGTGCTCTAGAAACTCCGGGGCCGGGTACAAACCAGAGCCCAGCTTGTGAACCACTTAACAATCCCCACAGTGATGGGGAAGGGGGCGCTGGGCTTGGGATTGAAAACATCCAAATTTGCAAATTGCAGAGGGTCTGCCATGTGCCTTCCCAGGCAGGGCAGGTTGAAATTCCCCAGATCTGAAACACAATCGCTTTCCAATCAAATCTAATAGAATGCAGCTAGATTCTCCCTTTAAAAATGTTTACTGAAGAATGTAACACGTTGCTTTCTCTTCACAGATTCTTTTTAAAATTTTTCCTCAAGTGCAATCAGAATTGTTTGAAAACAGCAGGAAACCCAAGGGACATGAGACGGTTTCAGGTAAGGGGCCCTGCAGATCTTTCCTGTTAAATAAGTCATCCTGTTTTCTCTCTCCTTCTCACACTTCTCTCTCCTTATTTTTTTTTTTTTTTTTTTGTCTTAAAAACCATTATTCATGGATAATGTTAACCACACTAAAGATAACTGCGAATGATAGCTCGCATCCGCTAGTGCAGAGGGTTTCTCCATCTTGGAGCGTTTGAGGCGTTCTGCCTCCATTGCCAAAGCCCACAGGGAGAGGCACCAACCCATGCTGGAGATTTGATTTTAAGCCCTCAGGCTGCCCACGGCACACATAGCTGCCCACAGCAGGAACCGTGTTCTTGATATTCCATCACCTTGGGATTTTTCAAAGCAGCTTCTCTGTATTTTCTGCAGGCAACAGCCTCTGCCTTCCCTTTTCCACCGATTAACTATTCAGTGGTCTCTCTCGGAGCCTTCTGGAAGGCAGCAGCCCAAGCAGCCGTGGTCACTTTAAGATCGCAGCATGACAACAAGACCCACGGGACAGTGACCCAGCTGCCTGGCAGTTAAATCTGCCACCGGTTTCATCACCCTTGCCACTGATGTACTGAGGATACGAGCTAATAAAAACAGAGCGAGGCAAAGTGTATCAGGCTGGAGATGAGAGCCCCCTTCCATGGGCTTTGAAGGACCCATATTTAATTCACCAAATGACTTTCCTGCCGCTCCCGCCCCAGCTAAATACATGGCATCCCCTTCTACATAGAAAAACGGAAACCATGTTAAACAATAGTATGTAGGCTTGAGACTTCAAAAAAAAAAAAAAATCCTTGCAGCAACAAGAGAGATGGGGATTATTAGCCTCATGTTTCGGGTGAGGTAAGTGAGGTTCTGGAAGGTTAAATAACTTTGCCCCTAATCACAGCAAGAAAGTGGTAGAACCGGGAGCCGGGAGCTGCGAGGATTTGTTTGATCAAACTCCTTCCACCACAACATGGGCATGCGACATGTTGCAGCTGCTATGTTTATGCCTTTTGCTCTCGCTCTCTCGAAATTCTTAATGATTTTTGCACGAGGAGCAGCACATTTCATGTTGCATCGGACTTCACAAATGATGTGGCAGGTCCTGCCTGTCACTTAGAGGGTGTCTGTGGTTTGGCTAGAGTCAGACAGATGTTTAGCAGCAGAGCCATTCAAGAGTTAATAGTGGAGAGGCGCATGAACAAGGCCACTGAGAGCTACTTTGAAAAAAAAAAAACGATGATTATTATTATTTTTTACCCATATGGTTATCAAACAATCTTGCTGTGACCGGAACATTTTTTAGTTACAAAATTTTGCGCGATTGCCAGTTTCCCTTTAAAAAGTTGAAGCCCTCCTCTCTGGCATGCAGAATCTTCCCCTGTTGTATGATACAAAGACAAAAAGAAAGAAAATCAACCTTCCTGAGGATCAAACAGGAACCTTGCGCACAGTGGAAGTTCACTGTGCTCTCAGTATTCCAAGTAGAAATGGAAATAATTTCAATCCAAAGAAGAATGAAATTCGGAAGAATTCCAAAGTTCCTCAGTGACCAGAGCTTAGCTTCATTTCTGGAAGGAACAGAGGCAGGGAACAGAAGTTGACAGTTTGGATTCTCGTTCTACCCTATTTGCTGCCTGTACTCTTTCAAAGAGTTTGAAATTTGAGAATCCTGTACTCTTTACAAAGGCAAAGTTACGTCTATAGACTGCCTTGTTATTTTATTTCTCCCAAATTTTAGAAATATCTTCTCAAAGCAAATGCAAGCTCATATTTTCTCCATTTCTGTAATTATTTAGAGATTTTCATTGTATCTGAGGTTTTTTATTATAAAGATGTGGGGTACAATTTAGGGTTAGGTACACAAACATTGATTATGCAGGTACCCTTGTTGATGAGATATCTGAGCTTTTAACTGGCCTAGAATAAATACAGATTGTTGATCTCAAAATAATAAGGGAATTCTCACTCTATGTGAAAGTGTTTGACTTTTGTAAGATGAGGGAATTTTTTTTTTTTAAGTGTGTGGCTTCTATGATCATCTTATTTCTTGGGTACAGGTAAGGTCAACTGGTCATTTTTTTTTTTTTTTTTTGCATTTTTTTAATTGAGATAAAAGTCACGTAACATACAGTTTGCCATTTTAACTATTTTAAAGTATACAATTCAATAGTTTTTGTTCATTCACAATGTGGTATAACCATCACCACTATCTAATTCTAGAATATTTCTATCACCCCAAAAAGAAATCTCGTGTCTCCCAGTTCCTGTTTCTTCTCAACCACTGACAACAACAGATTGACTTTCTGTCTCTATAGGTTTGTTCTGGAAAGTCCATACAAAAAGAATCATATAATATGTGACCTTTTGTGTCTGGTTTTTTTCACTTAGCATAATGTTTTCAAGATTCATCTACATAGCAGCATGCGTCAATACATCACTCCTTTTTATGGCTGAATAATATTCCATTGTATGGGTATATCACATTTTGTTTATTCATTATTCAATTAATGGACCCTTGGGTTGTTTCTAATTTTTTTGTTATTATAAATAATGCTGCTGTTAATATTCATAAACAAGTATTTTTGTGAACCTATGTTTTAAATTATCCTGAATATACATCTAAGAGTGGAATTTCTGAGCCATATGGTAACTCTTTCTTTAACTTTTTGAGGAACTGGCAGGCTGTTTTCCACAGTGGCTTCACTATTTTACATTCCTACCAGTAATATATGAAGGTATTGGTTTCTCTAATTCCTTGCCAACACTTGTTTTCCATTTTTAAAAATTCTAGCCTTCCTGTGGGTGTGAAGAGGTATCTCATTGTACCTTTGATTTATGTTTCCCTAGTGACTAATGACGTTGAACATCTTTTCATGTACTTATGGCTCATTTGTATCTTTGGAGAAATGGCTAGTCAAATCCTTGGCCTGATTTTTAGTTGGATTGTTTGTCTTTTTATTGTTGAGTTGTATGGGTTCTTTGTATATTAAGGATACTGAGTCCTTATCAGATATTTGCTTTGCAAATATTTTCTCCCATTCCATGGTTTGTCTTTTCATTTTCTTGATAATGTCCTTTGGTGCACAAAAGAATTGGCAATTTTTATAAGGTATCTGGATTCTACTAAGAATAAAACCTTCCATAAAAACTGTCTCACATGGAGAAGGCTATTAGAAAGAAAGGCTTGACTGTGTGCTATAATGGTCAAGTAAGAAACTTGGATCAGGTTCCAAATATGAAACAAAACCAGAGACAGTAAGTAATCATGGTGGTGAGGAGATGGTAACTTAGGAATTCCTAGAATATATATCTCATTCAGAATGATAGTGGTATTAATTTAAAACCATGTAGACAATTCCTTCAGTTCTCTCATTTTACTATATTATCAAACACAGATTTAATACAAAGGATTCAGTTGTGAGGACTTGACCTGAATGGAATAGAAATATGAAACGTTTCTAACCAGACTGTGAATTCAAATACCTTTCCCTCCTTCCTCCCCCCCTAATTACTCTCTCCTCTTTTCCCTATCCCCCAAACACTGGTAGAATTTGGATTTTTTTTCCCCAAAAAACGATCAAATGAGACCAAAATTATTATATCAAACTTATTTTTGAACCAGAACTAGCCCTGTATTTAACTCAGTTCAACCCCTAAGTATTATAGGACATAAAAATTATTTATTGAAACACAATAGACTCTAACCCCCCCTTTTTTTAGCCCAGACCCCTTTAAGAATCTGATAAAAGTCATAGTCTCTGTCCCAACAAAAAAATTACATTTAAATTTTTAATTAAAAGTTCAGATGTCTCCAGATCTCTTACTACATCTCTTAAGCTTCTTTGGACTCTAGTCTAAAGAAACGAAATTCATTGAACACCTAACAGGCATCATTAATGTAAGTAAGCCCTTAGCAGTGGGGAATCGGTCCATGTAGGATCTTCCCTGGTGGTTTCTCATCCACTCTCTTGGCTTTAAATGACATCTGTCCCTAAATGATTCCTGGATCTATATCCTCAGACTCCACCCTTCTCTGGAGTTGCAGACATAGCTCTACTTCCCTCCTGGGCATCTTCCCTGGGATGACAAATGAGCACATGTTCAAAACGAAACTCAGTACCTGTTCCTTGGTTCATTCCCTCCTATTTCATTGTCAGTGTCGCTTCCTCCTCTTAAGTATCTGTTAAATCCATCTCTGTCTCCTGAAAAACTGTGATAGCCCCTGACTCTACTCTTTTCTCGTCTAACCCATCCTCAGCCTTTAGTACCAGAGTTATCTTTTGAAATATGTCATGGAGATCTACTGTCCATAGGCACAAAGCTCAAAATTTTTTTTTTTTTTTTTTTTGGTCCTGGTCTCACTCTGTCACCCAGGCTGGAGTGCAGTGGCATGATCATAGCTTACCACAACCTTGACCTCCTGGGCTCAGGCGATCCTTCTGCCTCAACCTCTCAAGTAGCTGGGACTACAGGTGCATGCTGCATGCCCAGTTATTTTTAAAACTTTTTTGTAGAGATGAGGTTTCGCTGTATTGCCCAGGCTGGTCTCAAACTCCTGGGCCCAATCAATCTTCCCGGCTGGGCCTCCCATAGTGCTGGGATTATAGGCATGAGCCACAGTGCCAGGCCAAAGCTCAGATTTTTTTTAAGGCATGACTGAGAAAACCACTGAGTATCTGCATACCAGACAGATCTGTCATGTCCATTTCCCAAAGTGCCCATATGCTCACCACCCACCACGCACCCATCACCGATTTCTATTCCATCTTGGAACCTTTCCATGTGTTCAAACCTCTGTCTGAGAAACCCTCCATTCTTCCCCATCCTGTGACTCCCCTTTATGCTTCAAGACCACACCTGAATGTCACCACCTTGATGATGCATTTTCTGACTCTTCCAGGCAGAACTTGTGGCTTCTTCGTGCTGGCACACCCTTCCCCACAGACCTCTACCCTGCCAGTTACATCATCTTGTAGTTCTTGTTTGTTTTTCCAACAGACTGTGTGGTGTTT